TTGCCATTTCACACCAAGTAGCACCTCTTCTGGAAGAAGAAAATTTCAAAATCTCTTCTGTGTAATTGGGTAATGGCAGGCAAAGAAAAAACCCAGATTTAAAAATGCAGTTGTTGCATTTTTTATTTTTTAGTAGAGTTAACCAAACCGTTAACCAGAAGGTGATATTTCCTTTTATGTATGGAGCAGAAATGGGAAATAGCTGGTGTATTTCCATAACTAAGTATCTGCAGAGAACCTACACTTAATCAGAACTCACAAAACAGGTATCTTGTCTGTCTTGTTTTGAGTACACAGGTCATACCCAGTTGCTGTTCGTCTTCACTGGAGATGGCTACTTCTCTTTTATTACCAATTATTTAAAATAAAAAAAAAAAAGTGCAGTCAGACAGCACTCTAGGTTAGGAAGGAGCATTCATTTGCACAAATGTAGTTTTATCTTTACCAGTTTTGATGATCTAGAAATGCAGTGCTGCAGCTATGCAGTCCTGTGTAAGCTTTAGAAGTGTTCTCATAAAAGGCAGTTGTGGGTGGTTGTTTTTGTTTGTCTAAAATATACAAGAAAATAACTTAATTGCCATCTATTTCCTGTTTGGGTTACTTCTGGGAAATACTTTAGATTATGTAGTTTCCTGCTTGAATGTGTAACTAAATTAATGACCAGCAAAATCCCCCCTATTTAAAGGACTCTACCACTATTACTCAATAACCTTGTATTTGACTTAAGGCCCTGTTCCACTGCTGATTCCATATGAACAAATAGAAGAAATGGTTAACCTTGTTGTGCTTCTTTGCATTAAACAGAGAGAATGTGATTCACTTATCGCCTACAATTTTTCAAGAGTAAATAATGTGTTGCATTTTACAGTGTTTTTCAGATACAGGCATGATTCATACTATGTCTTTCTGTCCTTCAGGAATCTCGTGCGAACCGTCTGGCAGAAGAACTGGGTGCTGCCAAAGCTCGTGAAGCTCAACTACAACTGCAAATGCAATCTGAGATAAACAGGCTTTTTGCAGAAATAACCTCATTACAAGACACTTGTCAGGTAAATGTATACATCAGAACTGAAACAGCTCCTGCCATTTCGATTATTTTATTTGTCTATTTCTTTTCCTAGAGTGAGACATCTGAGAAGTCATATGTGAAGTCACTGAAGGCATTTGATGTCTGTGGAGCCGGGGGGAGGCTTACTGTGTTCTGGCTGAATAGGAAGGTTCTTTAACTGCAGATAACAGCAGTGTCAGCTTTTCCACATTAACTTCTGTTACGGAGATGATATAGGATAGTCAAGGTCTGGCTACGAAATGGACAGTGCCTGCTGCTGTCCTTCAGACACGTCACTAACATTTCCACCTTCTAACACTGAGGCTGATTCTTAAGGTGCCTATAAAAGCTACTGGTTAGACACATCCTTTCCAGACAAAAAAGTATTTTTTGTCATTAAAGGACTAAGCTCTAAGATAATGAATCCAGTATATCACCAGATTCTTCCTTCTCTCACAGTGAGGATGATGCACTTAAGCTTATTTTCCTGTGATATATTCTGTCTTTCTCATTGGAGATGTACTCCTGGATAAAACTCTGAGCTGGATGAAGGTTGCATAAATAAAATGTCAGAAGGAAAAAATAAAATCCAAAGGAATAAGCTGGATGCACAAAATGCTAATGAGATTCTTTGTAATAGGAAATTCTGGGGGTATGGGAACAAACCATTTTACTTGGGTTCTTTGGACAAGGTAGAAGTTGTAGTTCTTGCAGATCTCAATAGTTCACCTGATTAAGGGGTTTACTATATCAGTATAAGGCTTATTGATCACCTTTTGACATCAAGCTTTGTAAAAGCAGTTTTGCATAGGGCATTAGTTTCTAAAATTCTGTCCACTGGAGTGCAAAAACCCTCATACTTTTGAAAATATTAACATGCTTATTTCTAATTAAAAGGAACCTTGGAGATGTCTATGTTACAAGAATCCTTTTCCGTGTTCTGCATTGAAGTAGGGAGTTGTTTCATTCTTAGATTCAGAATAACTTCTAGCATTCAGAAAATTCCTTCTATTGTTTTTGCAAAGGAAAAATGAGACCCAAGAAAGATGTGAAGCTTTGTGAATATACCTACACTAGCTGTATTCCTTTAGACTTCCGATGAAGGAAATTAAATTTCAAGTTTGTTTTCATTTTAGTTAAGTGGATAGAAAACTAAATTTTAGAACCATTGTGCGTAAAAATATGACAAAGGTTCTAGCTCCATCCTCAATGTTACAGGGTTGCTTCCGTGTTTGAAAATATTCTATGAATAAACATAACGTAAGAAAATGTTCTCCATTAGTAAAACATTTTTATTGCAGACTGACTGATCTTCCACAAAAACTTTGTGCTACTTCTAAGACTTCAGTTACCTGATGGATCTGGGGAAAGCAATGTGGGTGGATGTGTTTTGCTGGGGCCAGGTGGTATGGGTGGGTTGTCATTTGTTTTTTTTCCCCCTTAATGCACTACTTTTCTGATACAGAGGATATATCAGTGCAGGTTAGAAAGTCTGTTACCTTGATTTCTCTCTTTGTTCATTCTTGTCCTTTTGAGATTCATAAAATAGCAAAATTACAGATTTCTTCAGTTAAAGTTTTATTTTTTGCTTTAATCTGTGGTGAAGATGTTGTTAACTTCAACTTCCCAGAGTGCTTTATTTTACTTTCCTCGTTTAAAAGATTTTTAAAAAAAAAGAGGCAATTTACAATGGCAGAACACCGTTACGGCAAATTAATCTTCTGTGGCCAAGTTTCTTACTGAAATGAGAAATAAAAATTTTATTAGTAATACCAAGAGAAGTACAAAAAAATTGTGTATGTTTTCCTAAATCAATATTTAATTTTTACAATGATTTTCTCATATTTCTTACACTTGAGAAGCTTGCTCGCGAGAAAGACCAAGCAAAAAGACAGATATCAGCAGAACACCAGAACTTTGATTCTTACCATCTGAGTGAACAGTTGCAGCGGGTGAAGGTAGAGTTAGAAGAGGCTCAAGATAATGTCACTAATCTGCAGTTACAGCTTCAGGTGAGAGATGAAATGGTTCGTGCTGCAAGTGAAACATTGCTTGTTAAGGTAAGCTGACTTACCCACCTGTTATACATAAAACATCTCAGGCAAATTCTCTTTTACCAAGAGAATTGAACAAAGTGATTGTAATCATCCAGTTCCATTTTTATATTTATCATTTAGTTTAAGTAATGATGGAGGAAAGTGGAATAACTGCAATGCATGTAAACTTAAGTCCTTAAGGTCTAAAGTGTTCATCTTAGCCAACCTCATAGATATGATAGAGGGTTTCTGTTCTTATGTGAAAGACATTGAAGGACTATAGGATGATTCTGTTGTCATCTAAGACTTGGGTGTGTCATTTTGGTCCCAAGCAGTGTATGTGCATGGATGTGTTTTATAGCTTACTGTTTAAAAAAAAAACTTCTATTTTTTTTGCAAAAAAAAAAAAAAAAAAAGTCTGCACATTTGTGTTTCTAAAATGCAGGAAGCAATGGGAAAGATGAGATACATCTCATACATAGTACAAAAATGACTAGAAGTTAGTATAATAGCCCTTTATTCATTAGCTATAAGCTTATTATGTGCTACTTGAAGATGTGTACGCTGTTTACAGTATTCCCTTTAAAGAATAAGCATCTAGCTAATATTTAATAGATGCAAGGTAATGGCTTTTGTATGCATGATAAACAGGAGCATATTCTAATGTGATGATACCAAATATTGGGGTGATCAATACAGTACATGGTATTGACTACTGTAAATGCTGCTGCTATGCATTATATACCAGACGAATTGTTTTGTTGATGACCCTCCTTTTTATTTTACTTTTTTTTAATAAATCAACTGCCAAATAATTGTTTGGAATGCAAAGCGATTTTAAAGGTGGAAAAAAGCCAAACCCTTACAAGTTAACAACAAAAAAACCCTACCCTGTAATAGACCATATTTCTTGGAATCATAGAATATCCCCATTTGGAAGGGGACCCTAAGGTTCATCAAATCCAACTCCTAATTTATTTATTGTATTTATTTCTGTTTACTTCATAAAATCCAGAATGCTCATGAACTGGGTAAAATTTTATTAACGTATCGTTACAAACTGTAGGCTTTTTTCCTTTCACATGACAGAAATACTTCAATGCTGTTGATGCAGGTTTTGCAAACACTTCCTCTGTTTCCAGAAACTTGAATTGTTAATATCTTAACAGTCTGGTTCACAGTGAAACCTTAAGCCTTATGTAGAGGATTTATTTCAAGAGACAGTAGTCCTTGTACAAATTTTGTACAATTATTTTTTGTTAATATTTCTTTTCAAAGTATGCTGTGTAATAATTTCCTACTTATCTCCCGGAACTTAATACATTTTGAAAGATTTGTAAGCAGAGTTTATTTTGAAAGGAAGTCGCTTCTGTTGATAGAGCAGTAAACAAGTGCATTAATAATTTCAGTCCAGGAGGCAGAATTTCAGAAAGAAGCCATGGACTTGAGACCTGCAGGTAGTTGGCTTAATTTGTTAAAAGTAATCTTCAAAATGAAAAGTAACATCTTAATGCAAAAAGATTTAGATATGGTAAACTAAACTCAAATATTTTAAAGAGGCTCTGATCACAGTTGTTTTGTTCTAGGTTAGAGAATTATGAAGGAAGAAACTGTTGACAACACTAACTCTGGAATGCTGTTGCTGGCAACATTATAAGAAGAAATTTTAATCTAACATTTATAAGCAATGAATGTATTTGTGCTGGTGCAAAAGCCAGACTTAATTTTCCAACCGTTTTTGTGATTATTGTCTTAATATATTCACTTATTTTATTTTTCAGAAATAAAATTTATTTTTTAAAAGATGTTGAGTTGCAAGGCCTAATTTCAGCTCTGTTTCTTTTCCCAATGGTTTTAAATGGCATTATTGTGTTGCACATTTAATTAAGATTATTTAATTAAGAGCACAGTGGTATTACCTTTTTAACAGATTTTCTTAAGGAATAAATTTGTGTTTGTTACTCTCTGCAACTTTGTACGCTTAGAACAGTTATTAAAATGGACCTCTTTGTAAGATGCTTTAGAGCATTGATTTGATCACAAATAGACTGTAGGAAATTATGCTTGCTTTATTCCAGCAGTGTCTTTCAGATGTAAAGATGCATGAGAAACAGAGGATTTTAATGCTTTTTTTTCCAAACTAAAAATCATAGTAAAAATATTGATTCAACTATACATTCCAAAACTTTATTTGCAAGTTTTCAAAAAATGCTGTACTGTATAGCTAGTATAAATGGCTAGTGACTCTCTAACACTGGTAATGGCATAAGCATCAGAAAGTGTAAACATGGTTATGAGGCCTAAATTCAAGTCAGATTGGTAGAAATGTGATTTATGCACATTAAGATAGGTTTATAATTAGGAAAATCCAGCTAGTAAAGCTATTTTGAACTAGTGAGGTACAAAAATTAATGTATTGCAGTTTAGGTCGTAGGCTTAAGTTATATGTTGATTGTATTAAGAGTGCATCTCAGCCAGGAAAAAAAAAAAAAAGGCTAGCTCTGTTATTTCAGGAGCTCTGCAGATAGAATCATGCTAAACTCCTTGGTAGCAGGTAGGTCACTTTAACTAGATGTGCAAACATGCTCCACAAGTCCAACTACAACTACTCAGTTTCCAGTGATTATACAAAATCAGGTGCACACTTCACAGCTGTTGATAAGTTGCACTCATATGAAATATCTATTCTGTGGTTTCAGATTATTTTTTTCAGTATAAAAATCAGGATGTTGTGTAGTTTTGTAGTGGAAACGACTGTATTGTGTGTTTTAAATCAAACTCTTTACTCCTCTAAATAATAGTAAATGAAGACCAGTAGAATTAATTAGACTATTGTAATAATTGAAAAATATTTTTTCCTCTTGTTCAGCAGATCAGTTTGTCTAGAAATTTGTGCATCAAAATTCCAACTGATGTTATAAAACAGAGAAACATGGAATCCTGGTTTAAGGGGCTTAAAAGGAGAAAATAACCTTTCTGTAATTACAGTTGTCACCATGCTAGTGGAATTCCACTAATGTGGTGTTGCATAAAGCCTCACTTGCCCCTCCCACATGCACTAAATATAAATGTGCATGAGCAGCAAAAGCAATTTTCCAAATAGCTGGATCAGCCAAACAGTGTTTGTACATAATTATGTATGTGAATGCTAAAAGCTGTGGTCACACAGTGTGAGAAGCCTGATGAATACAAAGAATCATAATCATATTTTATTACGAAGTTTTGGTGCTGTGTTCTCTTGTTGTTGGTCTGAAAAATTAATAATTTATCTTGTTGTACTGTCTACATTAATTTCCTCATTTGGAAACTAATGTAATTTTAGGTGAATGTTTCTGTGTAGTCCTACTCTTCTTGAGGTACTAACTAGTTTACATCTGCTCGAAGCCTGGAAAGCTCCTTCTTGTGAACTGTGTTGCACTGACATGGAGTTACTGTTTCTTGGAAAACTTTATTCTTGAATCTGTGAATCGAAATAGTTCAAAGATGTCAGTGATTGCAAGGATGTAGTAAAGCTGATGTGCTCAGAGCCTTCCTGGCTGATTGTCCCTGCTGGTGTACCTCCTCACTTTCTCTTGTCTTGTATGGGAGCAGTGCCAGAAAGCAATGTGAGGAATGTGTCTAAACAACTTGTCTCCTAAATCTGCATCACATTTTTCAATTTACTTTTTTTTCTTAAAAAGCTTGTTAGGACTTTAAGTTACAAACATTCCCATTGGAAGAAGGCGTTGTGGGAATAAAATGATGTGTTGCTCTATTTCAAAAGAACTGTAAGTGCTTTAAAGCATAGAAAATCTGAACACCGTTAGCAGAAGGATCATGTTTTGAGCGTTTGATATGTGTGGCAGACTCAATGCCAGAAGCTGGTTGTGATTGTGGCAAGGCTTTTCCTTTTCCTTCCAGTGGTGTACAAAATGGTTATTCTACTGCTTTAAAAAAAAAAAAAAAAAAAAAAACAACTTTTGTAGTTTACATGTCTTACGAGATTCATCTTGTTTTGTATTAAATATAGTCCATATTGACAGTGCAGATTATAAGCTCATGAAGGAGCATGTGTTTCTGTTTTTGTCTGGTTGGAGATTATCCCTTAAGCACGCAGGGTCTAGGTGTGCATTTTTGGATTTGCCGACTCAGGAAAGCTCGAGATAGCATTAAAGGCCAGTGACACATTCTGCAGCTGCACTTAGGTTGCTGCTCCTCTGAGCAAGAACTCTTGCTTGACCCATAGTTGAAAAAATGGCAAGAAGAAATGTCCTTATTACAGGTTGTTCCTCAGGAATTGGATTGGCCTTAGCTGTAAAAATGGCAAAAGATGAACAGGAAAGATTTAAAGGTAACAACATTTCTGTTATTTATGTTTATTAAAAAATACATATATCTTTCAATGCAATAGTTTTGTTTTTTGTTCCCTGTTACTTAACACATTATAGTATTCAATCTGACTCTTTTCTTGTCAATTTCCCCTTTTTATCATCAAGGAAATACATTGCAGTTAAAATATGCCACTTCTTGTAAGCAAACAACTTGAAAAAAGCTCAAACACCTGCATCAACTGAACAGATCTCTCTGTCTCTCTCTCTCTCTCTGTCTCTCTCTCTCTCTCTGTCTCTCTCTCTCTCTAATGCTTGTAGTTAGCTTCATCTCTGGCTACTAAAAAATTTGTTGAATGAAATGTTTATGTCAATTTGAAGGCCAAAGAAATTCTTTTAGAAGAAATAAATAATAATCTTGTAGTTATTTTCCCTGATGTATTTGATTATTCTAACCCCATGCACCTATAAGACGGTGAACAGAAGAAATGGGATATTTGCTGTGACTGAAAATGAATGGCAAGGTAAATATATCAGCCTGCTGAAAATCAGTTTCTCATTCTTACAGCATTTTACTGCAAGGGGGCTGGTTGCAGATACATAGTTTTATGGATAATTATGGTACAGTAACAAAACTAGATGATTATTATGGTACTTTTCAACCCAGGCCATTCTATGATTGATTTGGGGAAGTTGCCTGCATAAATGAGCATTTTTACAGCTGGAGGAAGCAGCTATGGTTTTTAATAGCTCTTTTTGTTAGCTAGCATGTGATTAACACAAGCAAACAAAAAGCATATATGGACTATAATATCATGTTTGGAATATTAAAAATGACTCAGCAGCCTGGCTTGGTACTATGCTTGTGTGTTTTAGTTTGTGCATAGTGGTTTAATTCTCGTTTTTAGTTTTTTGAAGGTTTCAGAACCAGATTCTGGTTCTGGGAATTAGCGCTATTTTATGTTGAAAATCGGATCTTCCTACTTCAAGTTTTTATCTAGATTCTATTACTGACATGTAAGATACAGATGAAAAAATAGTCTTTACACTGCCACAGGAAAGGTTTTAGTTCTGATCGACTGTGGCTTCTGGTTTGCTGCAGTGTATGCCACAATGCGGAATCTGGCCAAGAAAGATGCACTTGAGGAAGCTGCAGGTCATAATCTGGGCAAAACCTTGGAAATTAAGCAACTGGATGTCTGTGATGAACAGTCCATTAAAACCTGTGTGAATAGTATCCCTGACAGGAGGATTGATGTCCTAGGCAAGTACAGGATGTGAACAGATAAGTACTGTTTTTCTCCTCAAATACACTGGAGAAGCTTCATTGGTGCATTTTTTCATGTCATTAAAGTAACAGTCATTGCATAATTTACTCTGTTCATGGTTCTTTGGGCTTTGTGCAGGCATGAATTAAATCTCACTGTGTTTCTGTGAAGCTGGGAAGCTCGTTTTCTTTATTTACAGAGGAGAGGCTTGATTGCAGAAAGTGTTGGATAAGATGATGCAGTTCTTTATAATAAAGTGTGAGAAGAGACCTTTTTGCCCAAATCTGCATCCTCATGTAGAAGACTTACCACCCTATAGATCAACCATTGCCCTGTTAGTCCTGCCTAATAAGAAAGTAATAGCATTCAGAAATCAGAAGTAAAATAACAAATGCAACGTAAGAGTTCTTTAATTTGGTGTGGAGAATTATAGTTGTGCTGTGCAAATAATTCAGCAATTAGTCTTCTCATACTCTTTTGCTAAAAGTAAACACTGACATCTTAGGAAACACTGATATCTTAAGATGGAAGACACACTCTCAAGAATGAAGTCTGAGAGAAAATCACAGACCTGCCTTTCTTTTGATAATGCTGAAAAAACTGTTTAACAAAATACATTTGTAAACTATATTATGATCTAATTTCTAAGATATGATAGTTTCATTGTAGAACACCTGCTACCAGTCATTCCCAACTTGTAAATATTTGGGAGACAAAAACAAACAAACAAACAAAACAAACAAACAAAACAAACAAACAAACAAAAAAACTATGAGGGTATTGTGTGTGTGCTTTAAAGATGTATGTATTTCAAACAAACAAATGAAACCTAAATGACAGGCTAAAATACCACCTAATCTGTCTTCTTTTGGAATAGATTGAAGACTTAGCCAATGCCCATAGCATGGAACAGTAGGCTCTAATTCTTGCTGCTGAATGATGAACAAACATAGATGGTTCTTGACTCATTTTCCTGTAATCCCTTTCTGATTTAAAGAAAAAGGGCTGAAATTAATTGGTTGAAGTGCAAAATAAAATTGGATTAGAAGTGTAATTAAACAAAAATAAAAGTATATTTGCACAGCTTGAGTTATGCATTAACATCTTTTTGTTTTAACCTTTTCTTTAAAGATTATTTAAGGATCGTTTAGTGCCTAATCCTTTCACTTTTAAATGCTGTTCAGTGAAGATGACAAGTTAATGTGTAGGAAAGTTATTGGTCACTGTTGTCTTCCATTTTGTGCAGTCAGCAATGCTGGAATGGGGCTCATCGGACCAATTGAATGTCAGACTATTGATGAAATGAAAACTGTGATGGATACCAACTTCTTCGGACTGGTTCGACTCCTAAAGGAGATTTTGCCTGACATGAAGAAGAGAAAGAGCGGCCATATAGTTATAATAAGCAGTGTTATGGGAATACAAGGCAAAGTGGTTGTTCTTTTTTCTTTATTCTTAGAGTTCAGTATTCAATATCTAGGGCATGACTCTTAGCTGGAAAAAATATCTAACTACTGTGCTCTATAACACTGAAGTTCCAGCTATTCGATAGACAGCATTTGGATGGTGTTTTTATGCATTCCAATAACCTGTGACTCTGCACAACTACTCAAGACCTTTAAACAAGAGAATCTGCAGTATTTTTTTTTTTCCATGGGAGTAAGGCTATCAGTTTTAACTCTATTTCTTATTTTGTCATTTTTTATTTCCTATTACTAGAGATTATCTGAAAGAAACAAGATTTAGTAGTATGAGTTTTTACTATTGGAAACGGTTGTGGGGACGGGCAAACACACTACACCCTGCAGTGTGATAAAGGAATAAAATCCAATAACATCCTGCACTACTGTACCACCTTGTAATAAAGCTTCCTCTCATAAACTCTGCAGAGCTAGTTTTAGCAAAGAATAATCATGTTTCTACTCTTGTGTTCCATCTAGTATTAACTATATATGTGTTGCAATTACTAAGACAGTGGCATTATTCCTGCCTGGATTGTTCTGGTGAGACGAATCCTAAACAATAACAACCCTTACAGTTTGCCTTAATACAGTACTTCTCATTCTCCTAAATAGATTGTTACACTTCTTTTTACAAGTCCCTCAAGTGCAAACTGGATCTATTGCATAATCAAACCTCCCACATTGCTCAGCATCTGTGTTTATTTATTGCCTATTAAAAGTTTTGCTGGTAAATGTGAACAGTATTGTGTATATAAGTGCCTATTATATATTCACTTTTATACATTAGACTACAAAATACTTATGATCCAAAGAGGTCACAGCATCAGCTAGGAGGAAGAAGAGTGTTAGTCAGCTACGCTTTTCTAGTATAAGCAATTTTGAGAACATATGCAAATAAATCAATAGTAATTAGTGTGGTTAGTGTTGTTTCACTAGACCAATATAGACAGGAGGTTTTTTCTTTAATGTTTTCCCAGCAGACTACAGAAATTCTGGGAAAATACAAATGTTTGTAAAAGTAAAATAATTATTTGTTGAATACAATTCTCAGGATGTTCTATTTGTACCATCAGGTATTTTATTTAATGATGTTTATGCTGCATCTAAGTTTGCAGTGGAAGGATTCTGCGAAAGTTTAGCTATACAAGCACTCAAGTTCAAGCTGCAGTAAGTATTGATCCACAGATGTAAACTGTTCTTGAGACGGTTTTAGATATGGTCAGAACTACCAAACAGATCCTTAAAGCTTGTTGCTATCTAGGAGAAACCCATGGAAATGTACATCATGAAAGGCATAGAGATGTCCACATTCTTCACATGCTCTATCAAATAAAGTTTTGATATGAAAATAAACATACTATCATGGGCAATTACATGCTTTTATCTATGAATAATACTTCTGAGAACAGATTCTTGCATATACTAAAAATAATATTACAGTAGAAATAATATTACAAACCTGTATTTTCCTTTTCAAAGGAATCTAGAGATAAAAAATGTGAAGGACTTGGGGAGACAGAAAGGGGGAGTAGAAGGAGGGAAGGGGAAGATGAAGATCACACAAATTCATCAGAATAGAACATGGGGTGAGATTTCTACTGGGACAGGAGGTTGAAAGGAAAGCAATAAGAATGTGATGTAGTATTTCTTAATGTCTAAGACAGTATTTGAGAGAATAGTGCTGTTCATTGTGGTACTTTGGTGTTGGATTTGTCACACGTATTCACACTGGAACTATTTTACGTGTGAAATTCAAGAATTGTTAAACATCGCTTGCATCTGTGTGTGCTTGAGTGTTTAGCCCTTGTGCAGTGGGAAAAGAGACAGCTGCTGACATGGGATTCCAGAGACAAAGCTGCCTCCAAACTTCGATTTTGCATAAGGCTCTGAACAGTCTGGAGGGATTTAAAATAAGTACCATGATGAGATTATAAGACTATAATACTGCACTAGTTCTGAAGAAAAGCCTGACCAAAACTGAACTCTGGAAAGAAGCCCCATCCTAAAGAGTGTTTTGATAAACATTGAGATTGGTTAATTAGTACCTGAGAGCTGAACTAGATAAGAGCTGACCAGTAACTGTATTTCTGTGACTTGCTGCATTTTGATCAAAATCAGATTTTTTGTATTTGTTAGCAACCAAATCTGTCTGTCAACAGCAAAATTCTCAGTATTTTATGTAATAATGTAGGGGGATCTATGCAATGCTGACAACTTGACAAAAAGTTCATGTTTGGGTAACTCCGCTCTCTTTCAGCCACTATTATCATGGGAAAACCATTAACAAAAACAAATCGTGTGGGATTTTGTCCAGAAATAGAAAGTAATGAATTTTTTATCATCTTTAAATTATTTTTCTTTGTGTTTCTGAAGTTCTTGTGGATAAATAATCATCAGATTCTACACTTCCAAGATAGCAAGTAGCAACTGCACTTCTTTCTGTCATGAGTTAACTTACAGTGCCTCCCTGAAAGATATGCTGTGCAGATTTTTCTACTCTATGTGGATAGATAGCAGCTTCAGACCAATAATATGATGTGGGCCACCTTGATAAGGCATACTTCCTATTGTTTGCTAGCTCAAACTCAGATTGCAACTCTTTGGTATACATTTTTAAGAAGCATAGAAAGGTACATTTCACATGGAGACCAGTAACAATCTGTCTACCTTTGCTTTTGGATAGGTTAAGTCTGATTGAACCGGGTCCAGTGGTTACAGAATTTGAAAGAAAAGTGTTTGAAGATGGAATGAAAATGGATCTTTCAGCTGCAGATGAGGAAACAGCTGACATGTTTACTAATATTTACCTTAAAAATTACAAACAAATTTTTCAGAGCCTTGGACAAAGTGCTGAGGAAGTTGCAGAGGTAACTCATCAACAATTCTTTCTTGTTTTTCTTCTTAATTTAAGAATGCACTGGTTCATTGGTCGTTTTTGTAATTTTGTATTTATTGTTGTTTTGTAAAAATGTTAGATTAAATTACACTGTATTTATGTGACTTAAAAGAATTTTAAAAACTTAAGAGAATCTCAAGAGTCATGAACAAAACCCACCAGAATTTTAAAGGAATATTATTTTTTTTTCCACTTAAAGGCAGGTGCTAATTTAAATACCCTTGTGGACATATTCTTTTACACATCAGCTTGTCAAATCTGGCCATTCCTCATTGTTACATTTGCACAGGGTTTCTGGCTGTTTAAATCCTCTCCTCTCTCTCTCACAAGTAGCTCTCCGCAAATGTGAGGCGAGTGTGAAGTTGACTTGACTACCCTAGACCACAAAAGGCACTATAAGAAATACTTGGATGTCGCTTTTGGTGTTCTGGGCTTTCTTTGGGAAGACAGGTGGAGGCAAGTTATTGAAAGGGACAACAATTTCAGACGCTGACTACTAACACATAACACATGCTGACACTGCAGCTTCCCTTGCTGTGAAGTGCATTGTTCTGATCCTTTTCTAGTAAACTCAATATAACTATCTACCTATTGTGAGCAAATAGGGATAATTTTGGAGGGCTGTGCAGGATTCTTTGTATAACGTGCCATCACTGTGGAGTAGAGGAATAGAAATAGGATTATGAATAAATAAGAAATAATTCTAGCCTTAAATATTTGAAGAAAAAATTCTAATGAAATTCTAACAAAGCTGCATACGGCATTTCACATAATTCTAGCATTTCATTCATCTACTTTTCCTCTACTTAAATGAAAACCAAATTTTTAATTTACTATTTTAGTAAAGGTCCTTTAATGACTCCTCTTCTAATTCCTGGCAGCATACAGTAAAGATAATACTTGCGGAAAATCCACCTTTTCGCCATCAGACAAATACCTTGTATACGCCTATGACAACACTGAAATATGCAGATCCAAATGGAGATCTACCCATCGATATATTCTACAAAATGGTTTTTCATCATGACAAAATCTTCAGTGCAAGTCTTAACTTCATCAAATTACTGAGGTGGAGAAGCAGAAAAAGCTTTGACCTGGGAAAATCCTCGTCACAATAAGTATGAGATTGTACAAGCTGGAATATTAGTTACAGCTGCTGCTAACGCCATGTTGTTGTTTATCCTGTAACTGTATAAAGGCATTCAAGATCTTTGAGCTTACATAAGATAATCACCTCAGTTTATGTTTATCTTTAGTCTGCAGGATGTTGCAATTAAAACCCTCTATCTACAGGTTTAGTCCATCTTAGCAACTGCTATTTAGAGTTCTCTTTTTGTGGAAAGATAAACATTAACTTAAATTCTTAAGTATTTACTATCAGTCTGCTTCCCTTCAACTATAACCTAACACGCATGGAGATGTGTACTGTGTTAGAAGGCTATTAAGAATTTATAATTATATTTGATGTATGAAAAGTTTCATTGATCTTGAAGAGCAACAACTAGAGTATTAATTATTTCTATTGAAGCTAAGGTATTCTGAATGCTTCCTTTAGATGCTCTGACAAATGTATTAGAGGAGTGTTTTTTTGTTCTGTTCCGTTTTGTTTTTAACAAATCACCTCATAACACCTTGCTGTCTTCCCAGTAGTTTGGTAGTTTTGGTTTTTTGTTTATTTTTAACAGAAGTAACTATTTTACTGAAAGGAGATAAGAGCTTTTTATTGCTGACAATTTTTACGTGGAAAAAAATTGCAAATTCGTTAGAATTCACCTTTAAAATAAATAAAATGCAAGTCAATACAGCAGAAGCAGCTGAAGGAGTAGCACAGGCTTTTCTTCGCCCAACTTTCCTATCTGCATTTACTCAGCTGCAGTTCTAACATAAAGAGAGTCTTTCCTCTTCATTCGCCAAGGACCCGTGATTCCCCAGGGCTGCTCCCCAGTTTCACATCACTCCCGGACGTCAGCCCTGCCTAGGGCCAGAGGCTCGTGCTGGAGGCTCGTGCCCTCGGCAGGAGGCACCCAGCACGTTCACACTGAGGCTGGGCCGTGCCTCGGGCGTCGGCTCTCTCCCTCCGTCAGCACACTCCGCTGTAATTCTCCTTTCGTGCCCGGACTGGCAGCAGCCCGGCCCCACCTCTCCCCACAGGTGAGGACTGAGCCCAGCGACAGCCGCGGCGCAGGCAGTGGCTGTGGTAATGCAACGTGTTTCACACCCAGCCGCGAACTCCCCAAAGTGCCCGAACTGCCCCGTGCCGGCTGAGCGTGGTTTGGAGTGCTGCGCTGGGAGCCCCACGGGCATCCCGCTCACGCCTCAGTCTGTCATCACGGGGCCCAGTGGGGTTCAGAGCAGAATCCTAGGATCATTAAGGGTGGAGAAGACCACCAAGAAGCCGAAATCTGACCGTGCCCACTCGCCATGTCCCTCAGTGCCACATCTGCACGTTTCCTGCTCGCGGCCAATGCCCGCGGCTGCACCACGCCCCGCTTCAAGCAGCGCCGGGCACCTCGCCGCGCGCACGTGGCACGGCCTCGCGCCCCCAGCACTTCCGGTGCTCGCTGGATGAGGGGGAGGAGCCGGGCGGCGGAAGCGCGTTCCGACTTCCGGCGGAAGCGGCGCTCCGCGCAGGTCGAGCCCGTAGAGGGTCCGTTTCCGTCTCGCGGCAGCCTTTACTGGTGCCGCCGCCCGGGAGGAAGGAGTCGTGCCGCGCCGGTGCTCCAGGGCTCGCCTTCTCTCAGACCGCTCATAAGGCGGCGGCGCCGGTGCCCCGGAGGATGTGGCGGTGGCGGCAGTGGCAGGCGCCGCGGCCAAGGGAGCCCTGAGCCCGAGCGGCGCTTCCCGGCCCCGCGTCCCGGCGCCTCGCCGGCAGCTGCTTGCCCGTTGCTCTTCGTGCCCCTCGCCTGGCACCGACCCCGGCCGCGTCGCCTCCCGCTTAACCTTGCCGGTTCCCACACGCTCGACAGCGCGGGAGCGGGGCGGGGCGGCCCTCGGGGGCCGGTGGCGGCGAGGATGGCCTCGTCGTCGGGTAACGACGACGACCTCACCATCCCCAGGGCTGCCATCAACAAGATGATCAAGGAGACGCTCCCCAACGTCCGAGTGGCAAACGATGCCCGGGAACTGGTGGTCAACTGCTGCACGGAGTTTATCCACCTCATCTCCTCTGAGGCCAATGAGATCTGCAACAAGTCGGAGAAGAAGACCATATCCCCGGAGCATGTCATACAAGGTGAGCTTCCGGCAGCACCGTTCCGTGGGCCGCGCCTGTTCTGCTCAGGTGTGAGAGTCAACAGGGGAGCATTAAGGGCCTTAGGGATGCAACGTGTGGTCCGGCCAGTCGGTGCCTTGCGAGGGAACACTGTCTTTGGTTTGAAAGATGGCTGTGTGCTGGGCACCGGCTCTTGTCTCTTCGTTCAGAGAACTGTGATGCCTGGAGAGAGGTCTCTGAGTCTAGCAGTCTTTTTCAGGCTTGTGATACGAGGGCTGCTCTTTGCAATGGCAGTGCAGCTTTCTATTACAGTGTGTTTTAAGGTCCTGAGCTTATTGAGTGCTCAGGAGACAGACAAAAGGCCCGTGATTGGGCGTGTGGGTCTTAATCTCCTTGCATGGACTCCATAAGAAGTGAGATACTTTGCCTGGAATTGTGATTGTCTTAAATCAGCTATTCCTATCTGTTGTGGGAAACATGTAATAATGACATATTCCTTTGTGTTGTGCTCAGCTGTTGCCTTCTACTTTGTCTTGTTGACTGAAAGTTTTCTCAATACATCTCATTTGCTTTTCTTTATGTTCTGCCATGAGTAAGGAGGTTCCTTGCTTCGTGTGTAAGTCTGCAGCAAGCATCTTTTGTCAGGAACCATTCACTTTGCTGCTGAAGTAATGTTTGTTGATACTAGTGACTGTTGCAAACAAATTGATAACATTGATCCCTAGAGTGTTTCATTCTGTTGTTTGGTAGAGCTCTTGGCAGTAGTATTTGCCATAGAGGTATTTCCAACATTGTAGTGGTGTCAGATTATTTTAAGAAACAAAATCATAAGACTTTCTGTTGATAAACAGTCAAAATGTTTTTTCTTTTGCTGGTCCTAGCTTGCTCACCAGAAGAGTTTCAATTACTTGACAGGATTACAAACAGCAATTTGGTAACAAATCGAAAGCAATGTGTGTGTACATGGTTGGAGACCATCTGCTAATGTTATACACAAAAGTATTTTGCTGAGCTCTGTGTCACTGTGTTTGAAAACTGCTTTTGTATTGGGTCTGGCCATTTTAGTCAAATATTGCTGATGAACGCTCTGGAGAGAGATGCTTTTTCTGATGCTTTTGGAGGCAGAAGGGATTGTTCCTGGATTTACTGCTCTCCTTGCCTGCAGGAATGTGCTTGTGCTTCCCCCAGATGTGGTCAGTTAGCAGATGGTACTCATTTCAAGGGTGATGGTCTAGGCTGTTCGTTTTGCAGGCAGCAGAGACATGTACAGAGGCATAGCATATTGACATTTCCATTGGCCTTCTGACACTGTAGGTATTTGCTGCTTTAACTTACCTTAATATAGCTTCATGACCTCAATGCTAACAAATTCAGTAGTTGAAATATATGTTTGTTGTGATCAAGAGGTTAACCCAGTCCTTTCAATGGCTTCAGTCAACTCCCTTAGAAATTGTGTGGAGACAGCATCACAGCTAAACAGGCTGCTGCCCACAGGAATCCTTTTGCACCCTCTCTAGAGCTGGATGTAGCTGTCTCTTCTCTGACACTGGCTTTGTGAAAACTTGGCCATCAGGGAAGATAGTTCACTGTCACATGAGGTTGCTGATATGATTGTTCCTGTGAACAAGAGGTTGCTAGGTTAGAAGCAGGGGCTAGGGGAAAAGAGGGGAGAGAGGCACCCTTCCAGCTGGTGACATCCTGCCACTGGGCTGTGTCAGAACTAATCTGAAACTGCAGCTTCGTTGTTGTAGTTCCCTGTCTGGAGCAGCAGTACAGAGGACACACCATTGCACTAGGGAAAAATGGCTGCGTGGCCACATACTGGGCTGGAATGCTTTCCCTCGCTGCTGGGTTGTTTCAGATGAGTGAAGTCCTTGCAGTGTTCTTTTGTGTGGTAACACAAACACTTGACTGGCACAGTGCCTACGGACAGCACAGGGAAAGAAAAGCAGAGGCTTCCTGCATCCTGAGGGAGATCTGGTGTGATAGACTTACTTGGGCTGAGCCAAGCGCTCACCACTAATGATAAAATGTGCATCTGCTTCCTGGAGAGTGCCAAAAGATGTCAGGGCTGTCATGGTCTGAGTGGAGATGGAGAGCTTTTGCAGCAGTTAGACACTGGGACCAGCTGTGGAAACAGAAAATAGGCTCACTTGGTGGATCTGTAAGTTGTGGTGAGGTGGGCTTTTTGAGAAGCTGGCCTTCTATTGGATTCTGAACGTGCTGACATTGGAAATCACCATTTTTTCAAGCTGATTGCTTGGATTACTTTGTCTATGCGAAGCTGAGATGTGAGAATCGATGACATGTAGCCTCTCTTCATGGGCTGTTAGGATGTTGACGCTGTTTAGTTAATGCTTTAATGTGAAAAACTTGAGTTTTCACTTTGGACGTTACTTTATTTTGGAAGGGCTATGAAGATAAACATCTCGGATATGAGTGACCTGATTGTATTACGAACAGATTTAGAACTACAAGTGGTTATGCTAATGGATTAATCAGACATCTTTGCCTTCATGCGGTCTTTAAGAATGGGAGAAAGCTGAAGAAAAAGGACAGGTGTGATTTGACATCTGTAAAAGTTTCCTTCTCCTTACCTTTCAAAAGCACTGTGTTTTGGGATCCAGCTTTTGAAATTATGTAGGTTTCTTCTAACATCTGTAATATATCAAATCTTCAGCAGCCTGAATAAATGTGTAGACTTAACACTCTAGAAATAGAAAGATTCTGGATTTTGGTGAACGGGTAGTTCTGCTCAAGTAGACATTTATTCAGCATTTGAGTACCATGCTGAGTGGTACTCAGAAATATATATATATATCTCTTTGGAAAGAGGTAGAGGCTTATTCCTTCCATGCATGCGCTCTGTGAAGCCACAGTGTGTTTCAAGAGAGTGAAATTCTGAAGTTCACTGCCAGTAGTATTTCTTTGCAGCAGGCATAATGTTTTCGGTGTATTTGTATTGAGCTGTTGTGTGAATCTGTCACAGTTACATCACACTTTTCTTTTGCATCTTTTGTTTGTGTTATATTCAGTATGTAACTGTAAGTTCTTTCCATTAATTTCCGTTCTCTTAAGTTGCAAGTACAACTTGCCGTTGAATTGGGTTGCTGCTCATACTCCAGTGCAGCAGATTGCCAAGCCTGATGTATCAGTATTCTCTTGGTGAACATCTGTGTATTCACTGTGATAGTTCATCTTAGTGAAGTTTGACTTGTAGAGTTCTTAATGCTAAAAAGGAAAAGCTTTGAGTTTGAAATAGTTGAATGAATTTACTGTTTACATTTTAAAATTAAATGAGTTCCTTAATATTAATAGGCTGCTTAGAGAACCAGTTCTGCACCATCAGATGCGTTTGCCTCCTCTCTGCTGAGATTGTATTAAACAGGTTAGAGAAGGCTTTTGGTGATTCTCATAGAAACTGTGGACTAATTTGAAATGGTTCCAGTGTCTGCGTGGGCTGAGGTTGAACTGGCATGCTGTCTGGAGTAATTTAATTATCTCTAAATTGGTTCGTCTCTTAACTTCATTTTTCTTAAGAAATAGGTATTATGTTAAGTCATTTGCAAAATGTTTGCCAAATCTCTTAAAAGCATGGCAGTCCTGCTGCAGTGTGC